CAGTGCAAACGTCAGTTCACACACGTGAACTTGAATCACCGGTAACTTTCCCGGTCGTCTGTTAAGTGGGTAGGGAAGTAGCAAGCAAATCAGCTAGTGTACCTCTAGAGGTGCAGGAGGTGCACGAGTGTATCTCTAGAAGTGCACGAGTGTATCTCTAGAGGTGCACGCCCGTCTCGATCATAAATGTGAAGTTCGTTTGCTAATTGGCAGCTCGCTTGTTCACCGAGGTGTGTGGGGTCGGAGTTTTATGAATGAGGAAATGAATGTATGACTGAACAGGCGAAGGAATCCCCCTCGTGAGAGATGATGTGGGCTTAACTAGCGCGATGCCGGCGTGCGGGGGAGCGGGCTTGCCTACCGTCGTTAACCAAAGTACCTCCATTCACTCTATAATCATTTAAGGGGTCAGGGAAAACGCAAGACAAGGTGTCCTGCTCGAACCCTGCGCTTCGTCCTCCTTGCGTCTGCCCCTGAAACGGCCATCAGTTTGATCGCATTTCACGTGTTGTGATAATCTTGTGCGCCCGCCATGCCGTCACTAACCCGCCTCTTGTGTTTTTGTTGCAGGACCTGACCGGACAGAACAGCAATGACAGCTCTTCGGGGCCGCAGGGCGCGCAGGGGCCGGGTACTCCAAACTCCATGAGGCCCACCCCGTCGCCCACCGGGTCCTCAGGAAGTCGCTCCATGTCCCCGGCTGTTGGTGTCGGTAAGTAAATATGTACACTCTTTAAAACTTGCATACAGTGGGGCACGCTAGTGTGGTAGAGGCCAAGCGCGCATTCGTGTGCTGCTTACGGAAGTCGTGAAAACTTTCATGGTGGGACTTCACGCGAGACTTCACGCGTATGGAGAATTTCGAATCATTTACTGTGCGCGCACTATACAGTGTTGCGAAAGAGGGGCCCACAACTCCGCGGAGATTTGAGGGTAAAGCAAGTATTCAGTCCAAATTTGACTTTGTTTTCTTGACTATTCATTTACATTCAACATAGTTGTCACGAATATTCAAATATTGAATATATATACTCACCGTTTACGGAAAAGTGATACTCACCGTTTGCGGAAAAGTGTTAGACAACCCCTTGGTTGCCGAGATGTTTCCATTCGCTAATATTATGATACATAACGCAATTCTTGATCGTCCCGACGGGACCACCCTGGGCTCTGGTGACCAGCTAGCGCTAGCTAGGAGGTCGGTCCGGTAGGATGAATTAGTCAGCCAGACCTATCAGCTGGGCCGGCTCCACTCCACCCCACCCCGTCCCTCCGCCCATTCGTGTCTTTCTCTGTGCACGATCAGCTGTGCGACCCGAGAGAGGTACACTCCGCGGCAGCATGCGCGGGGCTCTGTATAAGCGAGGAGTTTGGTGGTGTCGGCGGCGGAACGGCTTCCCTCCCCCTCCCGGGCGCCACGCCACGCCTCGCCACAGTGCTCGGACTGTACCCCGAGGTCCCGCCACGCCACGCCACGCCCAGCCCCGCGGAGCCCCCGCGGCCCCGGCCGGGGCCCCCCGGGCCCCGGGCCCCGCAGCAGACCTGTCTGGGCGCCGAGAATGTGGGGGCGGGGTGGGAGGGGGAGGGGCGGGGAGCAAAGGGATTCCCCGGCCATGACCTACTTTTCTTTACGAGTGAAGCCTTGCTTCCCCTCCCCAACCCCCAGCCCCTCTCACCCTAACAAGAGTGGTGTGCGACTCATACCCTCCCCCGCCCCACCCCCTCCGGTCCGCGCTTGCATTCCACAGGAGGGTCTCCCGGAAGGGTAGGGGGAGGTGGGGTGGGGTGGTGTAGTCGAACCTTTGGCTGACTTTCTGCAAGCTTCAGTTTGCAGTGCACCTCTTTTCCCGTCCCGCCGTGCGCGTCGCGTGCCGCGCTTTAATTTTTGGCGGTGTGGATCGCATCCCGGCGCGCCACGCCACGCCCCGCCACGCCATGGCCGTGCATACGACACCACTTTGTTGGCAGAGTAGCGCGGCCAACGACCCCGCCACGCCACGCCACGCAAACAGCTGCTGCTGGGTGGAGGGAGCGTCACATGATTTCCCTATCCGCGAGGTGTTTTGCGTTGATCCCACACATATCCCCTCTTGGGCGCGGGAGTGTTTGCTGATGTTAGTGAGTTCTTCTCACTCTTTCTCCCTCTCTCTCTCTCCGATCCTCTCATTCATTCTCTCATCCACCCATTCATTCTGTCTTCTGTATTTGTTTTCCATATTTCGCAATGATTTGGTCGGAACACGAGGCAGAGGAAAGAAACGATTCTACACTGTAGCCACTCTAGAGTTGCGGCACACGTCGAGTGTCGCAGGGAGATACTTGGGGCAAGATAGGCGGTTTTAACGGGACAGTGATAAAACTAGCCTTTGTTCCTGTGACTTTTCACTTCTATCATTATCCTCAAGTGCATCACCTGCAATTTGGTCTAAAGTGATACCTGTGCGAAGTCGTGCTAACGTTGTGTTCCTCTTTTTGCGTTTTGCAGGGCAACAGAACATTCCAATGCCGCCGCGCCCTTCCAGCGTGCAGTCTGACAGCAGTGGCCCCACTCGCATGAGCCTGTCCCCGATGGCCGCCCAGGGTGGTTACCAGCAGCCCCTGGCGCCGCCGCCGCACCTGCACGCCGCCTACAAGATGGGGGGTCCGCACGCGGGCATGCCGCCCAGCGCCCAGCAGATGCCGCCCTACTCGCCCCAACAGGCGCAGCAGTACCCTCAAGGTAACGTATATCGTCCCCACCGCGCCATGCCCACGACACAACAGTGTGGCACCGGTTTGCATACCCCAGGGGCCATGGCGCCTTGCGGGTGGAACCGGTGGAGTGCATACTCTTGTGTCGTGGCCGTGACACGCGGTAGACCTGTTTGCTCTGGACACGATTCTTTGTGGCGTTCACTTGACTTATGATTTCGTCGTTTGTTTTCCCACAGGAGGCAGCTATAGTCCTAGACCTCAGGGCAACATGCAGTACAATCCGAACCAGAACTACGGGCCGGGCGCCGGCGGCCAGCAGGGAGGCGCCTATCCCAGCAGACCCATCCCGAACCACGTCCCACACTCGCAGTTTGGTTACCAAGGCTGGGGAGGTCCGGGCATGAACCAGGGCCCTCCTCCCAACATGATGGGCGGCCCTGGCAACCACGTGGCAGGCAAGAGCCCGAACGGGCCGCCCTCGGGGCCACCGGGGCCCCAGGGTGGCGGCCCCCCGTCCGGCGCGCCCTCGGCGACGTCTCCACAGACGCCCCCACCTCAGGGCGCTCCCGGGCCGCCGGGGCCTCCTGGACCACCCGGCCCTCCTGGGCCGGCGCCGTCACCGGGCATGAGCCCCGGGCCACGGCCGCACACCCCTCCACACGGAGGCCCCGGCCCCCACGGGCCTCCAGGGCCGCACGGCGGGCCCCACGGACCCCCGCACCACGGGGGACCGCACTACCTCAAGCAGCACCTGCAGCACAAAATGGGGTTCGGCAGCCCCAGCCCCGGCTCACCGGGAGGGCCACCTTCGGGACCACAAGGAGGGCCGTCGGCCGGACCGTCGCCTCCTCAGGGACCTGGAGGACCTCCACAAGGACCGCCCTACGGTGCTCCCGGCGGACCTGGTGGGCCCGGTGGTGCCTCTGGAGGGCAGCAGGGGCCTCCTGGAGGTCCCCAGGTCAGTCAGGGGCCGCACCACGGTGGCCCTATGGGCCCCCCACCTGGCCATCACCACCCTATGGGACCGATGGGACCCATGGGCCCTCCTATGGGCTCGTCCAGCCCGGGGCCGGGTGGCCCTCCACCTGGCGCCCCACCGGGAGCACCCCTTGGTCCGGGTGCGCCCTCACCGGTGCCGAACAGCCACGGGCCGCACCCCCACCACGACGGACCCGGCGGACCCCACGGACCCCACGGCCCCATGCCACCGCCCGCGTCCACCCCCAACTCGCACGCCTCCATGCACCCCATGAGCTCGCACAGCGATGGCGAGATGGTGCACGACAACGGAATCATCACAACTGCAGCCGGTGAGTACCGAGTTTGACGAGCTGTCGGCGATCGCGTGGGTGTTCGTGCGCGGGGGTCTTATTTTTCCTCTGTCCTCAGGAACGGCGACAACCAACGTGAGTCCCGCGACGACGGGTGCGGGTCCCGGTGCGGGGCCGGGCTCGGTGACGTCCGTAGTGACGACGGGGCCCGACGGCGCGCTCATGGATGAGGCCTCACAGCAGTCCACGCTGTCGAACGCCTCGGCCGCGTCGGGCGAGGACCCGGGCAGCAGCGGTGGCCCCACGCCCAAGCCGCGACCGGTCTATCACAACCACCCCGGCGGCCCCGGCTCGGCGCCCAACGCGCCCTCGCCAGGGCCCAGCGCCATGAACAGCATGCACGAGGACTACGAGATGGGCGGCCCCGGCGGCCCTGGTGGCCCGGGGGCGGGGCCCAACAACTGGCCGCGGACTCCAGCGAGCCCGGTATGTATACGTGTAGAGAATGCCACCGGGAGTGCCAATTCATAACAATAAAAAGATACGTACCCTTGTCTCTACCCGAAATTGGAAGTTTCCCGTTTGCTAAAGATTCCCAGTTTCCCTTCTAGTTTTGAAATTATTCTATGCAGGCTGCTCCTGACGTCCCGCGTCCCCCATCCCTGCTCTTCTAGTGCTGAATTGGCACCGGGATCAATATGGGTGCCTTTTCGACAAGTGACCACCAATATCCAAATTTTAATTTGAACCTCTGCTCTCTAAAACAGTGCCTCTCCCTCACTTTCTTCTGTTTCCTACGAATTTTTTAATGAATTAGATTTTAACAATATATAAATTGCCATTGCTTATTTGTGTAGCGAAATCTAAATAGTTTGTGTTGATGTTTAGGATCCAATTTTGTTGTTGTGGTGATGTCCGGGCAATGACCATACTCAACTTTCGTTCACCCGCTATTGTCATTTTAACTATTTTACTCCCTGTCCCTTGTCCAGTGATGTGCTATTTGGAACTACCGTATTACCTAATCAGTAATTCAAATACTTATGAGCCGTTTGTGTGTGCGTGTGTTGCTGTTATTCTTGACTTAAGCATGTGTGCATTGAATTGATGTCTTGTGTCTTTCCAGGTGTTTAACAGTCATGTCGGAGCCGATCCGTACAAATCGAAGGTTATTATCCTTTTGATACCTTAATATTCAGTCGTCTTCTAGATCTGCATGATGCATGAATTTATTCCCCCCTCCTTCTCTTTTTTACTCATTTACTCATTTTTACTTATTTAACATCTCTTCCCTCTCATAATTCAATTCATCTGTTTATTATGTAACCATTTCTTATAAATATAGATCGAACTTCTCAAAATAATAGTTTTTACCCTTTATCTCACATCTTATGTTTCTTTCTGTAGCATGATTTTTAATGCTTTTTCATTGATAACAAATCATTGTTTTTTCTTATATTTTCTCTCTTTGTTTTGCAGAAACCGGATAGTTTGACTAAACTGTATGAAATGGATGACTCAAGAGATAGATGTCTCTGGCTCGACAAGCTTCTTCAGTTCAATGAGGAACGAGGCACTCCGATCCAGGCGTGTCCCCACATCTCCAAGAACCCCCTCGATCTCTATAGACTATATTTTTATGTCAAGGAGAGAGGGGGTTTCATGGAGGTATGCAAGGTGCAGTGTAGTTCCATGTCACCAATCTGCCTTCTAGATTAGTTTTTTTCTCTATTGTATTGTCTCAAAGTAAATTGGTAAAAGTAGCATCTCTCTAAATTTGAGTCTTGATTGATTGTGTGATTTTTGTGTTGTTTTCTATCTGATGTTGATTTGTCTGTTTTGTATTTTGTTTGTGTTTGTTAATTTGACTTTGTATGTCTTGTTTGAGGAACGTCTGTTGTTTTCGCATGTGACGTTATAAGTATTTACAATCGTATTGAAGTGACAAACTAAAATTTGTAGTTTCTGTTGATCTTTAAGCAGAGAGTCAACTGAGAACTAAACTGGGAGGTCAGTTGGATGGAACATGGAAGTGCAACTGTTTTTTTTTTCCTATCCAATATTTTTTAATCTAGTGTAATTTCTAATCTGTTCCAACTTTCAATCTTATAACTAACATATTTCACCTCTTCACTAACATAGATCTAAGTTGAAGTATAATTTCATTCAAAATTTAAAGGTTTGAGGACCTCTGCCAATATAGTTCACCATTATATTTCTGATCTCAGCAATGGTGATGATAGTTAAACCATTGGGATACATTCTGCTTAGCATCTCACTTTTAAATAGTTCTGCTTGTTAAATTGCTTGTGCCTGCTTAAGTTGCATGTTTTAGAGTTCTTCTAGTCTTCTTTCCTATTTTGCCTCATCTAGTAGTGACTGATAAAACTGCTTGCTGTAGGTTTGATTTTATAAGCTTAACCTTAACATTAGTTAAAAAAAACTTACACTGCACTAAAGGTATATGGTAAGTACAAAATTATATTTAGAAAACATCTATTAACTAGTTCAAGCTTTTTACTACAAACACAAAATTGTAAGTCAATCTGTGCTCTAAGAATTTCAATTTTTCATGAATTAATTTAAATCAAATTTTAATAATGATAAAGCTTTGAAATCACCTGCTTTTACTTTACTGTGTTATGATTACTCACAGTCACATTATATGCTGCTTTGCAATTGAAGTTGGTTTAAAATAGAAAGCTGGGGCATTCACCTAGAAAATCTTCATCAGTACAAGCTTTGTTCAGAGACCAAAGCTTTGTGTCCTAACCTCCTGGTCGCCCATGAGCAAATAAGCAAATAATATAAGCAATTTACTGTGAAGTATTAATGGCAGAGGTTACCAAATATAGAAACCTGTAGAATCTAATCTCTTCCGAGGAAGGAACTATAAATGTACTGTGTTTGTCCAGAGTTTAGCATCAAGTTATATGTCCTAACAGGTAACAAAGAACAAGACATGGAAAGACATTGCTGGTCTCCTGGGCATCGGAGCTTCATCCAGTGCTGCCTACACCTTACGGAAGCACTATACAAAGAATTTGTTACCGTATGAATGTCACTTTGATAGAGGAGGAATGGACCCACAGCCTCTTATCAACCAAGTAGAAGCTGGGACCAAGAAAAAACCTGCAAAAGCTGCACCAGTGCCATCGCCAGGTGAAATATCTACCTTGTCATTTCAATTCTTTCAATTCAAGTTTCATTTCCATCACTTATTTCAAGTAATCTTGCAGGGTCGTCTAATTCTCAAGATTCCTTCCCAGCACCTGGTTCTGGAAGTGCTTCTATGGATGGATACAGTTATGGATATCCGCCCAACTCAGGACAGGACTACAATGCCCAGCGGCCACCATCTCAGACGAATGCTACCACTCCACATCCAGGTACGACATGTTATCATGCTAATATCATATCATGTCCGAATCACCCTTCAAATTCACAAGAATTTGCCTGCTCACCTATGTACTGATTTTTGTGGCACATTCTTTCTATCCTCTGCATTGGGGTTGGAGCTATGGAGAAATCCAAACACATTTCTCTTCATTGCTCTCAAACACTCAACCACATCTTTGCATTCTCATCCTCCCTAAATTAGCTGCAAAATGCTTAATGATTTATTTTTACTCTTGGCACTATTAGCTTCCCCATCAGGATACTGAGAGTCTATTTGATGTGCACTGAAGGCCATCTAGTTTCTTGAGTGTTGGCAGAAGTCAGGGCCACAAACTGTTTTCCTCTTCTTTTTGTCTATTCTTCATAACCCTATTTCCTAACCTTTTCTTCAGTAAAGTCACCTATAATCCTATCTGCTTATTTTAATCCCTATGCATGTCCGCCAATAAGCTATGGATGGGATCATTCTAATAATTTTCCTAGAAACTTCAAATGAAAATATGTGGTTAGATATTTCAGAATTTAGATAGAAATACTGCACTTTGCCATTTAGGCTACATTTCATAAATGCAGTCAGTGCCCTTGACAAGCTTATTGTATGTACAGTAATTTGAAGTGCTCCAATGTCTTGTAAGTGTCTGTTAATTTTCTGAGGAAAATTTCAAAGTGGACCATTGATGAAGGTGGTAAAAGAAAGAGCTTCCATCTCTCAGTGCAAGCTTTTTTGATTATACATCATATTGGCTACAAAAATTTGCTTGCTCTTGGAAGTCATGAGGCAAAACTTGCACTTTGCTTTAAGGTGGTGCCCAGATTGTTTTGGATATTGGCTTGTGGCATTGCCTGTGTATCGAGCTTGATTCATATTGATCCAACACCTTGCTGTGCTGTATTGAATCGGCTCACTTCCCTCACAATTTCTCAAGGTCAATTTATGATTATAAGTTACAAATGATCAATTTTTGGGGGAAATGTTTTGTTCATACAATGAGACGAGTTGAACTAAATTCTACCCAGAAGCAACTCACTATTGTACAGTGAAGTCAATGGTAGTCGACTAGGACCATCAACATCAATCCAATAATTTTTGTTACTCCGATGTAATGGCCCTAGTAGAAGCTGTAGTGGCTAGTGCTTAGTCAGTCGCTTGGTTCCTTCAGGTGTGGGTGTGCCAAATCATGGTGCAGGTGATAACGTTAGCGTTTCCAATCCATTTGATGATGGGGCCCCTGGTCAGGGCCAGAGATCCAATTCTTACGGACAACCTTATGGACCCTCGGGCCCGCCTCGCTCTGGGCCACAAGGTAAATGACCCTGCCTTCATCTGCTTGCCGCTTGCTTGCTAGCCTCCCTCCTGCATGCTGTACCTGTATTTGTCAGAATGTCGTAGTTTCCACGGTATCTTCAAGTTGCTTTTGCTACAACTTTTAACATTATAAAATTAGATATTTCTTTCTGCATCTAATGGGTTGTCAATGGTTTAGATGTCTGTCATCAATCCATAGGAACACACCTTTGTATTTGCGCCATACGCAAAAACCTAAGGTTTTCTCTTCTGTAACTCATTACTCCTTGTTGGCCCTCATTTATTTAGAAAAATTGTTTTCAGATTAATAAAGTAACATCAGAAAATAAGATATTGACTGTGTGTGTGTGTGTATGATTTTAAAAACAGATATTTTTCTTAGTTTTATTTTTACCATCTGTTAACTGAAGTTCTGTGTAGGTGATTTGGTTTGCTTTCATGTCAGATTACTAGAAAATTGATTTGTTAACTTTATTTAAATGATTTAATTTGTTTTGAAGTATGCTAGAATGTTTTGCTTGATACTGATCTTCTTTGTATTTTCAATGCAAACTAAGATGGCAGTAGTTTTACAACTCCAAAGCTAGTATCAGTGTATTATTTTCAAGGATGGTGGCTCATGTCACCTTGGAACCTATATACCTAGTTGTAGTGTCTAAATTTGACAATATTTCAGTTTTCATTGTTAACTGTTTCGGACAGCTGATTTAGATTTTGAAGAAAGAACCGACTACTGAAATTGTGAAAGTTAACCATGCCTTCTCTTCATTGTTTCAGGTTACCAGGGTCAGGGCTACCAGTACCCTGAACAGTATGGCAGGGGTCCTGAGTACAATCAGCAGTATCCCCCAGGAAGCAATTTCCCGGGAAATCGGTCTATGTACCCTCCTTATGGTCCAGAGGGTGACAGGTGAGTTTGAAGCATTATTGTTAATCCCTTGATGATGGGATGTATTGTCTTACTATAATATTTCACATTTGCCATACATTATACTGTATGTTGTGTGATATATTTATTTACAGGCCGCCTTATAACCAAACCCCTAGTGGTGCTCAAAGTGGTCCACCGGGAACTCCGGGCTCCGATCCCTACAGGTATCAGCCCCCAGGTTACCAACCCAGGCCAGGGTACCCTCAAGCACCTCCTTCAAGTCCAGGAACGCCTCAGCCACCAGGCCAAGGTGGGGATTATTATCGTCCTGACAGAAGACATCCTGACTTTAGCCAACCGAGGCCTCCTATGTATGGTAAGT